CTCCCCGGCCAGGCCTCAGGCCCCAAGACACGTCCCCTGTGCACCCCGCAGGAGGAGGACGGCCTGGTGCGGGGGCTGTCGGTGCTCTGCAACCTGGCCAACCAACTCTACTACCCCTGCGAGCACGTCGCGTGGGCGGCTGACGCCGGCATCATCCGTGTTGGCTCTCAGAAGTGGTGGACTCTGAGCATGGCGCTCTGGGCCTTCTCCCTGCTCCTGGGCATCCTGCGGTAAGGCTGGCTGGGCGCTGCAGTCTGCGGTGGGAAGGAGACGGACAGGGAATGAAGCGTGTTCCCTGTAATCAGGCTAAAATGAAGGAGCCTCTTGGGTCTTCCTCATGGATGCAGTTGATGCTAGCGGAAAAACCCCTCCCTAACTGTTGTCTTGCTTTCAGATCCCTCAGAATCTTGTTCCAGTTAAGAAGAAAGCTGAGGCAGCACAAAGGGTATGATTTCCCTCCTTGGCTATACAGCTCATTTAACCCAAATATATCTGTTCTCATTTGTGAGCTGTCACTAATTATCACAACATTATGGGCTATCGCTAATGTTACTTTTGCTCCCAACAGTACATCTGGGCCTCTGAGTCAAAAGGAAGTGAAAGCCCAAGTGAAGGCTGAAGTGCTGAGCATCCTCACAAACATGGCAGACCTCTCCAACGCAATCCACTGGCTCCCTCCGGGGTTTCTTTGGGCTGGCCGCTTTCCTCCATGGTTAGTCGGTCTCCTGGGGACCGTATCTTCCCTGATTGGTATCTACCAAGCATCTAGAAGAGGAGATTCTGAAGCTGTATAAACCATAATTAAGCTTCAGGAGCCCAGTTTTTACATGGTAAAAATGCATTTGGTGAGGCAGGGTGTATTTTAACTTTCCTGGGTGCTGATTGTGATTCCACGCATCCTGTGATTGGGACTGGAGTCAAGATGTCTAATGCAGAGAGAATTGTTTGCGGTTAACAATTTTTATCACTCTTCATCAGAGAAATCTTTCAGGCAAATCCTCTGAAAATCAAGAAATCTCTTAAGATTGATGAAACAGAGGGGAAAAAAGGCACTTCCATCCTTCCTTCCAGTGTCCCGAAAGGCAAATGCAACCCTCCAGTCTTTGCTGTCACTGAAAAAGCACAAAGCCAGCGTTGGGCTGAGAAGCAGACAGAGTTTTGTCACATGAAAAGTCTAAGGGACAGATCCTGTGAGGTCGAGCTCCAGGCTCAGCACTCGGTGCCTCATCTGAACCCGGGAGGTGACCGGTATCGTGGAAGTTTCTCCCTCAGATGTTTTGGTGTTTGAGCCCAGAGCAGATGCCACGAGCGCAAACAGGAACAAGCGGCTGAGGGAGGTTTTGGAGTTGTTTGTGACGGTTGTGCTTCTTTAGGAGGAAATAGCAAATGTAAGCTGTGCCTTGTGAAGCTGTATTCTGGTCCGTGTTACTCATTTAAGGAGAAATACTGGAAGTTGAGAGTTCACGGTTAAAGCAGAAGCAGCGCTGAGCCTCCAGCTGCGCCTTTACCAAGTGCCACCGGGTGGAGCTCTTCCACCAGGCTCTGCCAGCAGCCAACGGACTTTTTTTTTTTTTTTAAAAAAAGGTAAATTTATTAATCACCTTTTAAAGGACCAATCAAACCAACGTCAAGACGAGTTTTACAGTTATATCTCTAGGTGGTGCCAATAATAAAAAGACGAATGCTTCAAAGGTTGCGTTGAATGATCATTCCTTCTGATAACCGGGCAAGTGTTTTTTATCTGCTTCTGGAACGCTCCACGGAGTGCCTAGGCGACAGAAAACGTTTGTGTTGTGTTGACTGCAGCTCCCCATCTGTTACCAGCCTTCCTCCTCCCTAAATAAGGCAGAGCACCTGACTAACCGTCAGCGAGATGCATCTTTCGAAAGCAGTTCCGCTTTGTCTGCGCGGTGCTTGTGCTCTCCACCGCGCAGCACGGCACAGGATGCGTTGCCAGGAGGTTTGACCTCTTTTGTGGCTGTTTTTGGCATGGACACGAGAAACTCTCCTTCCTGTTTTTGAAGAGCAGAGTGAGGTCTTGATACTCCTTATCTTTCACCCTGTCCTTGCCGTTGATCGGGACCTTCACCCCGCCAAGTGCCACAGAGGACGCCTTCCTGACTGCACCCAGGATTTGGGGTCAGATCTACAGGTTTTGGTACAGCTCGGGGCATAGACAGGCTTCATCTGCAAAAGACTCTGTTTCTAGGGATGCGTCAGGTGTTGCGTTCAAACAGGCGTCACAGCCGGGTCCTGGCACCAGCGGCACTGCTCCTCCTGCAGTTTAGTGGAGTTTTTTTTAACGTGAAATCTCTCTCTTTGTATTCTTGACCTTGTTCAACCGTTCCTTCTGAACATGCTCTGCTGCTCAGCGTGGGATGAGGGGTAGCTATAGCAATCAAAAGCAAAAAAACCAACCTTAAATAAACACACCTCTGATGCTAGATTAGTAAAACTAACCCACGCTGTTAACGCAGAGAAAGGGCACTGTGAACTCATCCAAGAGGATTTGCTTCATCCGCTTCCTCATGGAGTGATTTTTAAACGGCAGCCGGTGAAGCTGGAGAGAAGAAGCAAAGCCTGGTAATTCAGAATTCCTGAAATTCCTATTTTCTGTCGGGGGTGACACGCAGTAGCTGAGCACCTGTGGCTGCTGCCGCCTGCCCCGGGCAGCACTCGCTCCAGTTTAGCGCTAAACCTTGCACTGGCAGACCCCATCTTCCCAAAACCTGCTCTTTTTTCCTCTTTTTTTTATCTCAGCCCAACTCGGCTTCTCCTTTGCCCCATGCAGCAAAACATTTGCTGAGCGGGGGTGGTTTGTTCCGGCCGTGACCTCCCTTTGTCAGCAAGCCGCGATCTAAAGGCCGTTATCTGCTGATTCCAGCCGGGAACCCCGGCTGCTGTTACG